AGACGCGCTCGCTCTGTCGCGCCGGTCCCTTTGCAGGCAGGTCCCTTTCGAAACGCCCGCACGGGTTTCGCGGCCAGGAGACGCGTCGGAAAGGTGCGCGCAGCAACACGAACGAAACTTTTTTTTTTCTTTGGAGGCAAAGGGAAAGTTGTCCGTTTCAACAACAACAACAACAAAATCCTCTTTCAGGAGCTAAACTTTTTTCTTTTCTTTTCTAATGCTTTTTTTTTTAAAAAAACAACAACTGAGTTTCCTAAGAGGAGGCGGATCCCCACCCCCTTCCCCGGACGGATTTACGACCTCTGCTTGCTTTTTTTTTTTTTTTTTTCCTTTTTTTTTTTTTTTTTTTTTTTGCATTTTTTTTTTTTTTTTTTGCAATCTGCTTCCTTCTCTGAACTCCGGAGCACGCGAAGCGAAAGCCAGCGCGGGTCTTGGAACCGCGCTCACGTTTGCAGGCGCCCCGAGCGACCGCTTTGCTCCGGTGGAAGAGTTGGTAGATGCTGGGCTGAGCCTGGCCGCCCCGCCGCCCGCACATTCCCCTGCCTCCTCCGATCGCCTTGGAGCGAGCGAGAGAGAAGAGTCCAGGGTGGTTTTGTTTCCTCCGCCTTACCTTTGGACTGCCACCGCCGCTCTCCACTTCTTGCGTGCAGATTTGGAACACGTCTGGGTGGCCGGAGCACTCATCCATGTGGCTCGGGACTCTGAGCATGGTGCTCCCTCTGCTTCGCTTGGGTCTGGTCGTGTTTGGCAGTGGCAAAGTCCCCTTTGAGTGGATAGAGCCAATCGACCAGAAAAGCCAGGCTGGTGGGGCTCCCTTCTCCCAGGAGCAGCTCCTAGCCTCAACCAACTGCTCCACAGCTGAGGAGACAGACTGAGAGCCGCTCACTGTCCCTTCTTTTATACACGACCCAATGGGCATGCTCAAACTCCTAACCCTCAAGGTAACTCAGCCAATAAAATTGCAGAGGTTATCTAACCCCTCTCTTTCCCCCCTCTCCTTACCTCCTCCCTCTTCAAGTCCTCCTGAGCCTCCCATTTGGAGGGGGGGGGAGAAAAAAAAGTTTCAGTAGCTGTGGCTTCACAGAATGCTTCCCCCAAGCACAGTTATATGAAAGTGGCTATTCCTTCCTGCAGACCGTTCCTTTCCTCCTCCCCCTGCCCAACACACATGAAGAGGAGAGGAAAGTATGAAGGGTGGGCTTCTCCTGTGGGTTAAAGCTTGTTTTTCAGAGGGGGCTGAGAGAATGTGTCCTTCTCTTCACGTTTCCCCCTCTCACTTGCTTTGCAGAACCAACACTCTGTTGGGACTGGGGAATGCCAACGCTGTAAGGCTACCAAACGTGAAGACAAGGATTTGTCTTTGGTTTGGTTGATGGGATGTTTGGCATGTAATCTGTGACCCAGTCCTGCCGGTCGTCATCCTATTGATTGCCCTCCTCAGCTGGAATGAAAACAGGAGGCAGATGTGGAGATAAACCAAGGCACATGTTTATTGAGGATCTGCAAAATTGGGATGGATTTGAACTGTTTCTGCAGCTGAGGCTCGGTTCACATGGGCAGGGAGACGAAATGACAGGACCTCGAGGGAGTAGAGTGAACTGAAGCACTTCTGCGTGTTCTGGATTCCAGCACTGGACATTTCTTCACGTGACGTTTCTTCTCCATGCTTACAGAAAGCCAGCACAGCAGGCAGGAAGGTTGCATTCCCCTTCGCAAGCACATACACGCACACACACCCCTTTGCTTGCTGTGCTGCTTTTCTGTTTGCAGGGCGTATTTACTTAGGGAAGCATTCCAAAATGCAAACTTCCAGTATGAAGTGGTGCAGTCCATTCTAGCAGCTCAGGTTTCTACCACCTCATTCTTCTGCACAGGACCTGCCGTCATGGCCCGGGGAAGGGTGCCATGTTCCCTCTAAGCCGTGGAGTCTTGTGAGCAAAAATTCTACTCTGTGAGCTACTGGCATTAAAGTTGTGAGCAAGCGATTTGGCTACTGCATAAAGTCGTTTGCTCTGGAGCCATCCCTTCCTGAGCGAAGACACAAACGTGTGAGCCGGAGGCTAAAAAAACTGTGAGCTAGCTCACGCTAACTCAGCTTAGAGGGAACACTGGAAGGGTGTTAGGACCAAGATCTTCCAACAATCTTATCCAGCCTCAAAGGTAAGAACAGACAGCTTGCACAGTCCTCTGGAGCGTTCAAGTCAGGAGAAAGAGACTGGGTTTCTAGATATGTTCAATGACTGTGCCATAGAGCAGATGGTCACAGAACCCGGGGGGAGGCGATCCTGGACTTGGTCCTAAATAATGCTCAAGACCTGGTAAGATATATAAACACGATAGCATCCATTGGGGACAGTGGCCGTAATGCTATTAAGTTAAAGCATTTACGTAAATAGGGAGTTGCCCCAAAAGACCAAAACAACCATGTTTAACCATATTCACACCAGTTTGGTGTCGTGGTTAAGTGCGCGGACTCTAATCTGGGAGAACTGGGTTTGATTCCCCGCTCCTCCACTCCCACCTGGCTGGATGACCTTGGGCAAGCCATAGTTCTGATAAGAGCTGTTCTTGAGAAAGAGCAGTTTCTGTCAAGAGCTCTCTCAGCCCTGCCTACCTCACAGGGTGTCTGTTGTGGGGAGGGGAAGGGGAAAGGAGTTTGTAAGCTGCTCTGAGACACCTTTCGGTAGTGAAGGGCGGGGTATAAATCCAATCCCCTCTTCTCTTCTTCTTCTAACTGCTCTCAAATGAAGAAGAAACTGAAAGGAAAGGTAAGGAGGGTTAAATCCCTTTGGGAAGCTTGGAGACTATTTAAAACTACAATACTGGAAGTTCAAATAAAATTTATACTGTAGGTTAGGAAAGGTATGAATAGGTGTAAAAAAAGCCTGCATGTCAGGGGTCATTTCCTGCAGGAGCGCACAGGAGCAGAGCTCCGGCAGTAAAGACCCCAGGGGGTGGGCACATGCAACAAGCCCCGCCCCCTGCAGCCCTCAGTTGGGCCACGAGGAGCAAGAAGCAGCCAGGTAGATTGCAGAGTTCCCCCCCCCCTGCCTTCAGGTACAAGCTTTCCCTCCTCTGCGAGGACAGATCTGCACATCCCCCCCC